AAATTCTGCACTAATTCTTGATTTTTTTCATATTCATACATTGGAAAATTATGAAAGTTTTAGTGCTTTTACTGAAATGTTTGATATTCTGGCACTAGATTGCATTTGATAAATACCTCAATCTCTATATACACAATAGAGACAAAGAAACATCAGAACAAAAGTTTAAAATGAAAAATATTGTGATGCCTGTTTCTTGACTAACGACTTAAGAGATGTATCGTACATGCTCAACCAATGTGTATGGCAAAAACGCGAATCTGTGTTCTTCCCACACAATTAAGAGCACAAGCCATTCCTTCCCAAACTCTAATGGGATGGTAAACAGGAGTGGGAAAGAGCCATTTTTAAAAAAAATATATTTAGTACTGGGTCTACAGGATCTCACTACACAGACTGACTCATAATGATCCTTGTTTTCAGCCTCCCAAAAGCTGGGATTACAGGTGTGTGCCACCATGCACAGTCTCAATCTCCATCTCAGCGCACCCCAGGGCTAGGGCTGGTATGGCAGGCCAGGGATCAAACCACTGTCCCTGCATCTGCCTAAGCAGGTGCTTTAATCTGCTGAGCTATCTGGCTGGCCCCAAAACACCATTTTTTTTTGCTTCCTGTAATTATCATTTCGTAGCTGGCAGCTGCAGGGAGGGAGGGCGGTTTTTTGTAATTATCATTTTATAACTAGTAGAGACCTAATGAATTCTAGCAGTATTTTTCACAATAAAGGAGACTACATCAAAATTGTTGAATTTGAAAAGGTTATCAGGGCCAGCCAAATAGCTCAGCGGATTAAAGCACCTGCAAGCAGGCACAGAGGCTGGGGGCTCAATCCCCGGGGCCTCCTGAGCCGGCCCCGCCCCCCTGGGGGGCAAGCCGAGACAGCAATTGAGACTGGCCAAGGTGGAGCGCACCTGTAATCCCAGCTCCTGGGAGGCCGTAAACAGGCAGATTACTACGAGTCTGATCTAGTAGTGAGACCCTGAACACCCTGTAGACCCTTACCTAAAAAAAAAAAAAAAAAAAAAAGAGGGTATCAAAGCATCCATCTATTTCCATTCTTGTTAGGTTTTTAAGGCAGTTTTAGTTTGGGATAGTTATTGGTCTGAGTTCTTTTCTCTATGGAGCCTGAGAATAAATCCAATTCATATTTCACTCATTTTCTTAAATTTGAAGTTATGTCAGTCTAATATACTTCCTCTATAATTTTAGACAACAGGTGTCCAAAATTCATTTTTCACTGTGTATTTTGGGTTTACATGACTCCTAAAACTAAAGGGCAGGCCTTCATATTTATGAGAAATCTCAGTCTGTTGAGGTTTCTGGATTGCCTTTACTGTATTATCAGTCATCTCTGGATTCATATTATCTGTGTACTTAATTGTCTGTAGGCCAGGGGTGAAAAGAAATGATAAAGACAAAGATATAGGGCAGGGACCGGGGAGATAGCTCAGTGGTCCCAGCATTTGCTCCCTGGTACCATGTACTCTGCCACCATGTACACCTATAATCCCAGCGCTGGGGAGGCAGAGACAGGAGAATCACTGTGAGTCCAAGCTGCATAGTGAAACTCTCTACCAAATAAATATGTATTTTTTAAAAAATTAATTAAAAAACAAAAAAAAAAAGATATAGGGCAGATATGAGCCACCAGAGGTCTCTTCTAGTTAAACAATAATTGAAAACCTATCATTGGGCCTTACTAATTGCTGTGAATTGTCATTTTTAACAGGCGCCTTAAAGTGACTCACTTTGAGAAACTGTTTTACTAGCATTGTTAATTATTTACACTCCCCTCCACAGCTGGACTCACTCATCATGTTTTAAATACAAGGTCTGCCTTATGATGGATTCACGCTGGCCTCAACGTGTATGTATTTTGTCCTGATACATATATTGATTGGATTCCACCATGAATCTACTCCCTTTTTAAACTTTCAGTGAGAAAAAGAGTAAATAGATCAATTAGCCTAAATTGATTGTGATGAACCTATGGATGTTACTTTCTTTTAAAACATAGAGTTGGTTTCTTCTAAAACTTCAGTATGCAGGTTTAATTGCAGAGTTGGCAACCTCAGTGTAAGTAGATTTGAGGTTATAATTTGGTACTCAGTCTCTTAAACTGTGGCCAATTAATTCAGTGCTGTTTCAAGTTAAGTGGATGAAATAAATTCTTCCATAAAGATGTTGTTTTCAAACAGATTTAGGGTCACCCATAACTCAACGCATTATAAAGGCAGAGGAATACTTGTCCTTTCCATTTTGACAATTTACTCCCAAATGACACTGAATTACAACTTTCAGGAGCTAGAAGGAAATTTAGTAAAAAGAAACTTCAAATGCCCTCTGGTGTTAAAAAGTGGAAATGCCCTTTCTGGTTTAATTCACAAGGAGGCCTTCTACACAGTGAGATTTAGCAGATCTTGGTACCCAAGTCACATGAGTGTAATAGCCATCCTTAGCTCTCAGCCCTGGTCCCAAAAGATGCTCAAACAACGTGTTCACTTCATTTATTCCTTTAAAACAAAGTCACTTCATACAGCACTTAAGTTATTTAAAATCGTACACCTCATAAATAAAATCAAGGCAGTTTAATGACAATGGCAAAATCAGGAATTATACAAAATGAAATAAAGACATCTTCCAGGTAGCAGTAGTGCATTAGCTTTGAAATAAAAGGTGGCAAACAGACAAAGGAACATTTTCAAAACACTGTCCATCTTCATTTAAGAATCTTTTCTTATGCCAAGAAAATTCATTTTGTTCTGTTTGAAAGCTCTGAACTTGTTACTAGGGGTTTTATTTCAGGTACCTCAGTTTCTATTGCATTAATGCAGGTACTGAGGAACTATACTGTTTTTGACAAGCATTCTTTGCATTTTAAGCTGATTCGAGACTTAAGAAAAAAAAAACTTCTTTGCTAAATATGTATTTTCTGTAAACAACTCAAGCACTGAATGGCAACAATGTGAACTGGACAATGGACAAGAATTAGGTCATATGGTCCTTGAAGTCAGTGATCCCCAGCCCTTTTGGCACCAGTGACCAGTTTCATGGAAGACAACTTCTGCATGGATTTGAGGAATGGAGACAGTCTGGGTGATGATTCCAAGCAGCATGCAACCTGGATCCTTCACACACACTTTACAGTAGGGCTCATGCTCCTAGGACAATCTAATGCTACAGCTGACCTAGCTGTTGCCTACAGGCGACACACAGGGTCGGGTTGTAGATACTGGTGATGTTTTGCTTGTATCTCCTGCTGTTAGACCCAGTTCCTCCTGGGCTGTGGACTGGCACTAGTCTTTGGCTGGAGGTGGGTGGGCGATGGGGACCACTGCTTAAGTCACTCATGGGTCATAAATTAACTATAAAGTTATAAAGGCAGACTCAAGCAATCAGTAGAAATTCTAAACCTTTCTGTTTATCGCATAAATAAATCCTGCCTCCATTGCTAACCTACATGTAGGTTACTTTGAAAAAGGATATCACAGCAAAATTTTTATACTTTCAGCCATTAAAGACAAGCTTTCTCATCTAAGGCCGTTACATTCTGTACCAAGAAATCAGGAAAAGGGTTAAGTTGACAAAAAGGAATTGCTTGAACATTATTCTGAAAAGTGTAGTTTATGAGTAGGAATGCATCCTTTCACAGTCCCTTCCTTTACAGTGCTACTTAACTTTCTTACTCCCTTCTACTCTTAAATATGACCAGAGGTTATTAACATCCTTTAAATGCATGTAAATCTAGACATAATTCAGATCAAGATCATTTTTTCCCCAAGTCAAATATTCAAAGCACTGTAAACAAAACTAGCTTATTGGGGGGAAGAAAAAATAGAACACATCCCAATAACCAGGAAGTTTTATATCTTTTTGTGTTGAATAAAATGTGCTGAAATAATGATTAATAAGACATATTTGGTTAATAAACTAGCTTATTCAAATGAAGTGTTTCACTTTAAACTTAAAAACTAAGTTACTTACATAAGATACTTTTAAGGCCTGTGACTCAAAAATCAGCTGCCTTAAAATAAGTTCACTTAGAAACAAATGAAAAAGAATATAATCTTTCAGAAATTATTAGTCATCTTTGTGCTACAAGGACAAATTTGAACACTGCAACGTACAATGAATGGTAACAATCACATTACAGAAGTAACATTTCCTATGTAGGTTCCAGGTCATGCTTCCAGCTACTGAAATTGAACTCCACTTACTAAAACACCAAAATGTTGTACTACTCAACACTGATGGCAAAAGTTGATTTAGAGCTAATGGTTAGTAGCTCAAGAATTGCATTTTAATATCCTTAACAAGATTCCTAGAGGGCTAACCATGTAAACGTCTATTTCATATTTTTTTAAAGTGCTGCAAATAAATGTGCCTCATCACACAAAAGAACATAATTCTTAACATACGTAAATTTAAGAAGGCCACCTAATTTATCAAAAATTTTAAAAAGTCACTCTGTTGCTTAATCTTACATCCTCCCCACTATGATTTTTTTTTTCCAAAAAGACATACAAAACTATGTTTAGCTGGGCAACTTGCAACGCCCAAGTTTTAATTCCTACATGAGACAGAAGGAATAAGTTAGATAAGCAAGTTAGGAATGGGCACTTAGGGGCATATAGATATTCATTCCTGATTATGCTTTTGCTGGGACACAAACTTCATGGAACACTCACATGGCATGACATTAGTTCTTAACAGCATCAAGCTGACCAGCAGCAAGCTTCAAAGGCTAAAAAATCAACCACAGACCACGAACAACATATGTAACAGACTAACGTCTTCGTAGGGCTGGTACATCGTTCCTAGGGATACTGATTTAAACTCCTAAATCACTGTACCCAGGTGTGTGTATTCATAGCATTGTACCTGATCTTTAATCTGAATGGGAGCACACAACTGTTTTTGTTTTTTAAACAGTCCTGGTGGATGAACCCAGGGCTTTTATTGTGAGCTATATCCCCAGCCTATTATCATTATTATTATTATTTTTTTTTGAGACAGTTGTGCTAAATAGGTCAGGGCAGCTGGAACTTTAAATCTTCCTGCCTCATCCTCCCAGTGCTAGGAGACAGTTGGAAAGCACCACCTTTGTTCATTCTGCCACTAACGTACACTGTTCTCACTTTAATCAAATTCTTGAAACAGATAAAACTGCATGAGCAAGGAGATTCATTCCGCTCCAGTGTAAACACAGAACAAAGATCTTTATAATCCTGCCAAATCCAATACTTTTCAAAATGCCCAAGATGAGAATTTACCCAATTCATAACTAACTTCAAGTGTAATAAGCTCATAAAAATACCTTAAAACCTGTGAGGCCTACAAGCTTGAATTTAGAATCAGCATAAGATTAGTCCATTAGTTTTTACTAAGTCACAACCTTGTGTTTGCCAAGCAGGCGCTATGCCCCTGGCTCTACATCCCCAGCCCAGTTTATCAGTTTTTATTAACTAAATGATCTGCAAACAATGTTTCATTTTGAATTTTCCATCAGTGCCAAATTTCAGCAAAGGATTAATTTTAAGTCAATTTTGAAAATAATATGATGCATAAAGCTCAATTTCATGTCACCTAGTGGTACTCTCTCTTGGAGACAGGGTCTCACTATGTAGTTCAGGCTAGCCTCACACTCACATCTGCCTCCTGAGCAACGGGACTCAGTAGCACTTCTCTTAATTTAGAATCAGATGACAAGACAGTACAAAGTGACTTTCATATCCTGTTCACTAGTACATAATATGATTGCCAAACATTAACTATTGTAAGCTCACAAGTGCTATTTTTAAGGCTCAGTAAAAATGAAATACTTTCAACTTATATTGACCCTAACTTGTAATGGCTAAAACAGGTAGGTACATAAAAGGTCCTTACGGATGTCATTTGATGACTTGAATCATACTTTGTGAAATTTTCCTTAAAGCAACTGTTCTCCTACATTGTTCACTTTAATATTCCTTAATTTTACATGACAACCTTCACCAAGTGATAAAATCTCAGTTTTAAAACATTTGCCAAAAAAGATGGAGCTTTAAAGTATGCCACTTGTTTTCTAAGTAAGATATTTAATCAAAATGAGACCAAAATAAAACTTCACTAGATTAAGCCTCTTCATATTGTGTGAAATAATGTATAACAAATCATAATTTAGCATCCCTGATCTTCAGAAGTAAGAGGTAGAAAACTTTATCTGGAAGATCTTGTAGTGAAGCTAAGTTTTAGAGGATGTTCTCTGTAGATCAGTCCACTAAGCAAATGGCTACACTTCTGACATTAGGAAGAAGCAGAATTTTGAGAAAGATGAATAAGGCAAGGATGTAAAAACTTTCATATTTTGGAAGTGAAATAAGTGACACCAATTACTTTAATACTGCTCAAAATCGAAGTTTGCAAGTAAGCAGAGTGCTAACCTGCAGAAAAGTGGAATGTTCAAAAGAGTGTTGGTAAAGGGATACAACTGGCAGAAAAACAAAACACTGTTTAGGTATGCAAAGGATCTTACAAAAACCAAACCAAAGCATAACATTACCATTTTACGTGAAAACTGTTTTTGAAGGAAGTTTTCTTAACAAAAAGCTGGGGAAATCAAATTCCCCCAGACAAAGCTGTATGTAAAAAAGCAAAAGTGGAGCACTCAAACATCAAGGAACTTCAATAAAAAAAGCATACACTGCTTAATTTAAAATTGTATCCAATGCGGCGACAAAGACCAATACATGAATTGCATTAAAACACGAGGCCAGCAGTCTTTTAAAGCTTCAGTAAGCTGCTTCAGGCACCTTTTCCTTATACATTCTACTTTTATACACTATAATCTTAAACAGCACCCTAACGGGTCTTGTTTTAGATAACATTCTCAAGGAATGAACATATCCCTGTAAGAACTGCTTGCTGTATACTTATAAAGTCTACCAAATTGCAAATATAAAATCAGTTCTGACAATTCTGGGTATTTTCATTTGATGAGCCAATTCATTTAGAAGCTATTAACTCACTGTTATTAAAAGGAACCAGTTACTGGAGACACTGTGGCATATGTCCAGTGGCTTCACATGCAACCTTCCACATTATCTAAAATGTTTTCTTCTACAAGGTAAAGCTGCTGGGTGCTAGTTTATAATACTAAAATCCAATCTTCAGGTTGGTGTCAGTAGGTGGCAAAGACCACATCTTCTGTCACTCCAGCAGAAAGATGGTGTGTATCACCACTGCAGACACACATTTGTAAACTTGCACACTAATTTTAATCTTAACAAGGAATTTCAATGTCTCAGTGGTTTAAGTTAAAAGAATGGTTCAAGCATTACGTCACTTGTATCTTAGGGTCACAAATAGCTTATTTTAGAACCCAGAGCCTTCTGGATCTGTGAGGTAGTAGGCTTCACCCTCAGCATACAGAGCTCACACTTCTCCGAAGTTGGTGTGGCCTGTCTCCTTGGCATGCTCCCTTGCTTCTGCTTGTCCAGTCAACCCCTTCTGGCACACCATGCATCTCAGGGTGAAGCGGTTAACATCAGTAAACTGTCTCTTTCTTCTAGTTTCATCTGCTAACTCCAGTGCTTGCACAAGAACAATATCATCATTAGAGGAGAAAATGGTCAGAGGTGGGGTATCCGGATCAGGAAAGTTACGCTGAAGAGGGTCATAGTGGATGCCATCATAGATGAGCAGAACCCTTTTGGAATATCCTGCATCTTCCCCAAAACGATCAATTCTTACTGTCTGTGTATCTACTACACATATTTCACATTGATAAAACTTAGACAAAATCAATATCTCAATTGCTCCCCCCCATGTATCATCCCTTTTGATCCAATCACAGTACTCTTGGTTTGTTTTGCCCAGTATTGCCTCACTATAGAAGTCTGGATCACTTGCTACAATCTGTGCTATGAGGCGTCTCATCTCTGGGGCACAAGCCGGATTCAAGACTCCTCCTTCAACGACATAGTACACGCTTGTGAAGAGGCAAGAGTTGTCTGCTGGGACCGCGGTTCTGGTAAGCACAGGCAAAGGTTCCCTGACATAAGTAGCAGCACCATGGTTTGTAAGCGCAGTTGAAGTTCTGGGTCTGTTTTGGTCTTCTTCTACGATCAGCATGTCGCCTGTGAAAAATGAAACAAATCTAGAACTGCAAAGAATTGACAGATGATAGCAGGTGTTCACTAGCCAAGCTCGTAAGCTACAGTGGCGAGTTAGAGCATAAAGTAGGGTTACCAAGAAGAACACAACTTTGTAAACAACTGACTAGTGACATTTTTTTAATTTACTGAGTCTTCTTAAAGATGAAAACAGAACAAAGAACAGAACACTCCAGGTTGCACCCCTAATTGTGAGGGGCCTGGGGCACACAGCATCATACCTAACACCATACATTTCAAACACAAGATATCCTTCTATGCTGTTTGCATTTGAACGCACAACTCTTCCAGGTGTTCACCACAGCGTAGGCCACTAGGGGGTTCTCCTCCTTCTGAAACTTATCACATCTACCCAATGTCGTGTTTACAGGGTTCTTGCCCCCCAAAGAAAAAGCCTTTAATTACTGACGATGTTCAAGTTCTAAGGCTGAGCAGAAATAACTAATGTTGATTAGAACTCGAAGGGGGTTTTAGCGAACTTTTTAAAAGCTTAGTAGAAAATGAATACATCTGTCAAGCTGGTATACGGAAGATCTTGCAAAACCAAAACCAGGAGAGCAAACAAAGTGTTCTACACCCTTTATAGATCTCCTGATCAATGATAAAGACTATGGAGACAGAAGAAAACAGGGGCTACATCCCTACACTTTTCGGTATGAAGTGGAAAGAGAATGAATGAGATAGTTTTAAGGAAGACCTGAAAGCAGGTCGAGGAAAGGGGACCCTGAGGCCTTGGGTTTTTCTGTCTGCCTTCCTAAGGACAAGCGGTGGTTTGCCTCTCGCCCGGCCTGTCGGCGCTCCGTCCTCGTCCCCGGCCGCCACCGCGCCCACCTGACCCTGACAGCCACCTTGCCCGGGTCTCTGTCCACGCCTGCAAGCCTCCCAGAGCCACCCCTCCCGACCATGGCCCCGCTCCCCTTACCTGACTGGATGCGCAGGTCTCCCAAGGCAGTTTCCCCATTGCTGAGATCCAGGCACTCGGGCGGGAATCCGACGAGGATTCGCTGGCCACCGGGCGCGATCCCGGTGATGGCTGCAATTTGGCCCTGCAGTTCCCGCAGCCGGGTCCGGCTGGACAGCCCCTGCAAAACATAGGTGCCGTCCTTGGCCTTGCAGCGGAGCCGCCACATCGTGTCGGTCCGCCCGCTGGCAGGCCAGGTGCCGGCGGGGCCAGCTTTGGTGCCTGCACCGGGATGGGAGACGCAGCCGCCGCCGCCGCTGCCGCCGGGGCAGCCAGCCTGGGGATGGACTCCAAAATGGCCACCTTTGGACGGGCCAAACATCGCGAGAAGTTGCCGGTGGGCTTACAGTTCTCGCGATAGCTTTGCTTGGCGCCTGCCTTTAGGGCCTTAAGAAGCGCGAACTCTTTTAAAGAGGCAATTGCTATTTCCTCCCACTTTCGGGAGGCAGAGGTTGAGCGTTCTCCGTGTGCCTACAGTGCTGTGTCCTTGCTACCTGTAGAGCGAACGTGGGGGCCCTCCGCGTCGGCAGCATATATGCTCAGAGGAAAGGGGCGGGGAAGGAGTTCCTGAGGCAAGCACAGTGGAATGTAACCTTGCACTCGGCTCAGAAATTAAACCCGGGCCTCCAAAGGACGCTGCAGGAAACAGTCATAGAGCACGACGCGCTCGAGCGGATGCCGAGGACTGCCAGTGAGTCAAAGGACTGTCAAAAACAGTGGGAGCCTCGTGACTGGCTGGACTCCCTGGCCCAAACACTGACTCATTGAGGTGAAGGGGCCGGGATACTGGTCTTTCCACTCCCGTGGGATGGCACCCTGAAAACTTCCCTTGGCCACCTCAGAAAGCATACTGTGAGGTCACTCACGTCTGGGCCCAGGCAATGCGCAGATGGTGGCCCTGTCAGGAGATGTAGAGGAACAACGCATGCCACCCCGAGTCCCGGTCAGTTTTGGGATCACAGAGGTGACGCCGACTTCATTCCTGCCTGCAGTGTAATAAATGCTCATTGTTGTCGAGAGGTGGGGCCTCGGACGTGTTACCACTGAATTTCACAGCAATGCGATTATGCCAGGGTCAGGGGCTATTTTCACCCCGAAACCCTAGAACACAACGGATAAAATGTATAGGCACAGAGGGGCAACTATAACACGCTGGGAGTTGTAAAAAGGCACAAAGGGGGATCGCTCCGAGAACATGGGGAAGAATGGCTGAATTCCCAGGTGGAAGGATGACTAAAAACATCCCTGAAAGTATCAGTAGAATCAATCACCAAATCATCCTGCTGGGCAGCTATCAAAAGTGCTCTTCACTTGGAATATGCAAAAGCCGCCACCTGTGAATACTTTACGCGAAATCTTGGCATCTTTTCCTACCTTTCTTTCACGACTCAGTTTTCTGCTGGTGCAGCTTTGCTCCTTTGTTCATCCAAGACGACGGTAACAGATGATATAGCTTGGGTAAAGGAAGATGGTTAGAAGCCTGCTAGTTGATGTGAACGAGTTCAAGACGCTCCTAATTCTAGCTGGACAGCTGATTCAGTTAACAGCGTCAGAACTGTGGGAAGAAAATGCAGACACCCCAAGTGTCATCAGCTCAAGTGCCGTGGAAAGGTAACCTCTTTCAAAGCTTACGTCTCACTTTATGAAATTATGTGTCTAACAATGTCCAGCTGGGTTAAGGAATGCAAGCGTTAATTCTGGCAGTGTTTTCATCAGAAAGTCACACCCCTATAGACTACTACTACTTAATAGTGTACTCTCGCGAGAATATGAAAAAGCGAAATTTTTATTAACCCCGCCCCTAGTCCTATTAGTTACCAAGCAACGCGGCAGCCAGCCTCCGCCCGGCTGGGAGACTGGCCCTGGCGGTCTTTCTTCTCTGCTGGAGCGTCCTCCTTCGCGAGCCGCCTCTGCGCCCGCCTGGAGCCCCGCCCCCTGGGCCCTGCAGGTGCTCCATTGGCGGACAGCTGATTCTGCCCAGGTGCGGGCGACGCGCGGTGGGCGGGGCCGGGCCGAACCACGTGACCAGCCGGGACTTCTCGCCTGGCCCCTGGCTGCCGGCTGTCACCACGGGTCTGCAGCGTTACCGGGCGGCGCAGGGGCCGCAGTCCAGAGGGTTCTTAGGAGAGATTCCCAGGGTGAGCGACGACTGCGCAGCGCCTGGCTTGCTGGGCCGGAGGGATGAAGGCGCTGCTAGTGCTGGGAGGAGGTCCCGGGCGGTGATGCCTCGCCCTTTAGGGCAAAGCCAGCCTCGGGCGCTGCCGGGCTTGCAGACCTCAAAAAGCAGAACGACAGAATTTGTGCGGTCTGAGGAAGGACAGTGCGAGGCCTCTGAACGAGAGGGTCCTTGTGTCCACCGAGCGCCTTGGTAAATGGGTGTGGGGTGTGAGCTCGGGGCTCTAGCGCCACTGTTCGACTCAGGTCTTACACAGGTAACCTTGGGGAAGTCATTTACCTCCTCTGCGACCTGTGCCTCCTTTAGGTTGATTCCCGGGGGATAAATAGGGCGCACGAGAACAGTAGAGGAGAAATGGTGACGTGCTAGGGTTGTCTCTGGTCCCTTTGAGGAAAATGAGGTTTCCCCGCATTTTCATTTTGCCTTCAGGACTGAGTCTTTCTTTCTTGATAATGAACTTAAATTTCCTTCCGCTCCTATGGAACCCCTTAATTGCCACCACTATTCTCCCCAGATTCTTAAAACTAGAATAGAAGATCAGGAAGAAAGGCGAACAGACCACTTAGTTCAATTAGCATGTTTCAGTCTGTAGAATAGAAGTAATAATGGTAGCAACATTTGCCTTATGAAGGGGTTATTGGAGGTATTCAAGAGCTAAGGTCTGTGAATGTAAACTCCTAAGTCAGCAAATGTATGCAAAGTTGTAGTGCAACTCTGTAGGTGAGGAAACGGTGGGCTGAGGTGGTTCCTAATAAGTAGCTGATGACTGGAAGACAGAAGACTGGCCTTAACTTGGCTGAGGTTCCTTCACAGATACACACTGATCCTTTGCACTGAGCATTTTGAGGAACTCCTTCCTTCTCCATTCTTTTTTTTTTTTTCTCTCTCTCTCCCCTAGGAACCTTCTGAAGAGCTACCATGTCTGTGAATGTCTCATCTTCCAAAGAACTCAGCAGTAACAGCTGTGAAACCAAATCCACAAATCTTCGAATGTCAGAGAAGAAATGTTGTGAGTCCTGGGGAAGAGGAGGGCTACCATCTCTTCGTGTTTTATCCTGAGAATCTTGTAATCCTAGGCTCTGCTGCTTGGTGGTAATGAGAAAGAACTCAGATTCTTACCGCTTTGTTTGGGGCATCTGCATACTTGATTGATGTTGAAAGTTCAGTGCAATGGTCAGGTGGAGTGACAGGGTGCAGGAATTTCTTGGTGCTGCTACTCTGCTTTTCTTTATCTGTTGGGCAAAGTTCTGGAAGGGTGCTACACACTGCAGAGATTCCAGTAGGAGGAAGCCGTGCCACCCTATTCCTAAAGGCCTCAGGGCAGTGACTCCCAACTTCTTGCAATTTCTCTGTTGTTTTCAGCATCTTTTTCTCTTACAGATTTTGTCTTTGAGCCTTACACAGTATTTCACAGGAGCATTTCCATGCTGGTCTTGTGGTCAGGGACAGCAGGAGGGGCAGTGAGGGGTGAAGCTTCACTTCCTGGCCCCTTGCACCTATATTCTCTCCTTATTTTGGGCTACAAAGCTTCCCAAGAGTCTGGGGTATCCTCAAGGAATGCTAACTCATGTTCCTGCTTTTAGATTGCCCCTGTCCTTTGGAACCATATAAGTTTTTCTTACTTTAGTGGAGATTTACCTACCTACTTATCTACCTAGTTACCTACCTACCTACTTACCTACCTATCATGCCAGCTAGTATGAGACCAGGAATTGTCTCATGATGAAAGCTTTTCCCAGAGCCTTGACCTTGATGTCATGCTCTTGTGTCAGTCCCATGATTAATGATGAACATCTCTCTTCACCTGGCACCATGAGGTGTGCTGGACAGCAGCAGCTCGCTTGGATGTGATAGTGAGGTTGGCACAGCTCTACAGTGTGGGTCTCCTATCTCTGCCAAGGCAGGAAGCCAGGCACCAAGGGCAAAATGGCCTATGAGAGGTAACTAATTCATGGGATGCAAAAAAGGACCTCTAGTCAGATTGCCTGGGCTTGAAACTGTTTCCTAGCTGTGTGCCCTTCAATGAGCTGCTTATTCCCTCCACGTCTCACTTTCCTCCCTTTAAAGTGGGGATACTAGTGTACTTCCCCTCCCAGCATGAATAGGATTAAATAAGCACAGGGAAACACCTAGTACAGGTGGCCATCTGCCTCTTGTGTTTATTCCTGAAATATACATAAATTGAATCACACTCAAATGCTGTGCTTGGAGCTCATCATTTAGAAGAGCCCTGTGACAAACTGTTCTGCTTTGTTTCTCAGAAGAGAATGTTGTCTCCTCTTGTTTGACAACATTATAACCCAAATTTAGAGGTCTAGGGTGCTGCTTTTCAAGGAGATACACTCTTGTTACTTAGGCTACTTGATCCAAAAGAGGGCAGAAGTGCTGCATGTGATAGCAAATATCTATAATCCCAGCACTTTGGGAGACTGAGGCAGGGGGATCACAAGTTCAAGCTCAGACTGGATAATTTAGTGACTTAGCAAGACCTTGTCTCAAAAAAAAAAAAAAAAAAAAAGTCTGGGGATGTAACTCAGTGTAAAGACCCTGGGTGCAGTTCCTAGTACCTCCACCCCCCAAAATAGCAAGAACTGGGGACAGGAGCAAGCTGATCCTTGTGGGTGTTTGTGACTGTAGGCTGTCCCGTTCCAGTCAGGGCTCTTGCTTCTCCACAGCAGTGGTCTCTCCTATCTGCCTTCCTAACTTTTCTGCTTCAAGGTTTTTAATGAAGGAAACAGTAATCCCACATCTTTTAGGTTTTTTAAACTCTCCTTCCTGCACTGAGCTCCACTTTTTCTTTCCAAGTTCTGTCCTCTTCTTCAAACTGATTTTTCTCCCCAGCTGAGGTTGTGGGGCTGTCCTAAAGCCATTGTCATTCACTAACTGTACTTTCCTCATGATAGGATGGTGACACTGTGACAGCTAAAAGAGAATGTGTGGTTATGAAAATATTTCCTTTTCCTTGCTGTGTTGGGAGACATGTAACTTGGATTTTTTTTAGACATCTTCTGGCATATTGTATTAGTGAAAGTACATTTATTACTGTACTCATTTCTGCCACTATAAGCTTTACCATTCTTTAATCTGTTGTGAACCGTTCTTCTGTGTTGGTAAATCCAGATTCCCCAGATTCTGAGTACTGTGGAAAATGTACCTTGGTACAGGCTCGCTGGCTGCTTGGTGCTCACGCCAACACTTGCTTTGCTTTTTTAAGGGCTCAGCTGTTATCCCTTGCTACCAATTACACGTGTGCTGGCTAACATTGAGTCTGGAAATTGACAGGGAGCTCAGGGCTGAGGAATGGCTTTAGAGAGCCCCAGCTTCCCAAGGAGCATTGCTGGGACACGAGCATCTGTGGGGATGGAGCCAGAGGGAGGGTTGGCTGAGTGAGTCAAGGTGAAGGTGGGAATGTGGGGAGGTTGCATGCTTTTTTATTTCTTTTGTTTGGATAGTTTGAGTAGATCCATAGCAGACAAGTTCCTGTGTGTGCCTTTTCCCAAATACAGGAACAGAGAACACTCATGAAAAATTCAAATAATCAGAAAGTGCAAAGTGGAGGCTGGCAAGATAGCGCAGCAGTCTAAAGTGCTGGTTTAGGCAAGCTTAGGCAGTGCAGAGACCACGGTTTGATCCCCAGCACCACATGCTATGCCAGCCCTGCCCTCAGGGCATGCTGAGCCAGCCGCAGAAAGAAAGAGAGAAAAGTGAAAATCTCTTACAGTCTTTCCTGTCTTTGCTGTTTGATTATTTTAATCAGTCTTCGTGGGCTCTGATCCTAAGTTCATACTATCCATATTCTGTTCTGCCATTTCTTTTAAAAGCTTCTTATATTATAGACTGTTTTTCATATCAGCACATTCAAATTTACCTCACTGTACACTGTATGGATATGCTAGTTTCTAACACTCAAATTATTCCCTGTGTTCTGCTGTCACAGAGCTTGTTGCACTGAGCATCCTTACACCTTAGTACCTTTGTATCAGCAACTTTTCTTTGCAGAATAAGGATAACAATTTCAAAATGTTTACAGGAAGGTGGACATTGTCAATTATGCCTGTGTGCTGGTTAACTACCTTATCAGCTTTCCTAGTGTTTAGCTGCAGGTATATCAACTTAATTATTTCATGTCTAGCAGTAAATAACAGGAAATACCAGTTTCTATGGCTTCTGCTGACTAAAAATATTACTAAGGAAACATAATTTTTGGATGCACATTTCAAAGTGTCATGGAATGCTGGAAGAAGACTTGGACTATGGGAAGGTTGGAACCTTTGCTTTCGAAGCTCATCCTTCCAAATTAGGATGGAGAAGGTAGCTCATTTACCATGGGGTCCTTTGGTCAAGTGCTGTCATATGGCCAAGAGCTGGCAGCTATGACTGGGCAGTCATAAGAGCAGGAGTGTCGTCAAGAGTCCTGACCTTGACCTTCTGTTGTAGGACTGGAGGCAGAGCTCTGAACTTCCACAGGCTTGAGTCTTACCACTTATATGAGGAAATTTGTCAAACTTCATCTCATCTAAGCATGCAAATGAAGACAAAGTCTACTTCAAGAAAACAAGTTAAATGTTGTGTAAAGAGGTAGAATTTCAAGATTAAAACAGACTTGCATTGTGTGTTGTGATGGCCTTACAGTATCTTTGAAATCAGTCAATCTGAAGTATCTTCCATTCAAATTAAGGTGGTGATGGTGCAATGATTTTGATAGGACAAAATGTTCCTAGTTTTGCCAGTGTGGCAGTTTGAGATAGGAAGTGTGGTTTGGTTTTACTCTGAAAAATGAGAAGCCTGGTGGTAGCAGGTGTGCGTGGGTGTATTCTGGGTCAGGACCAGAGGTGAGGTGCAGGAGGGCAGGGTGTGGTGCTCCTAATTACTGGGTGAGCTTTTGTTCCTAGCACACTCTGTCCAGTGCGGTAAACACAGAGCAGGTGGCTCCCTGGTCACCCTTGAGAGCAACTTCCAAGTATCATTTCACTTTAAACTTCAGAAAGAGTAACAGGGCCTGGGGGGAAAATGCCTAATGGGCTGGAAGGCCCCGGAGTCAGCAGGTGTAGAAGGTAATTAGCCACATCCTGGGGGACTGAGAGGGATGTGTGCTCAGCTGCAGAAACTGAAGACTTAGAGTATTTTACTACTTGAGCTGGAGGCAGCTGGTGCCGTTTGAGGTCAGTGGCCAGGGATTAATGCCCTGGAGACCATCAGCTGCTGTCCGCTTGGCTTTGAGCTCCCTGTTTGAACAGAGATGAGAATCACTTACATTGCTGCATCACCTATCTTGGAGGGGCTTCTGCCTACCCATAGGAACTGCCTGTGTGCTGAGGGAGTCAAGGACCGAAAGTCCTACTCAGTCCTACTCTTTGCCCCCCTCTTCCCAACAACGGCCTCTTTAGCTTCCAAGCTTGCCTAACACGCTTATGAAACTCTTCCTTCTGGGGCTAGTTCTCTCTTGAGGCCCTTCTACTTACTTCTCCTTTGAGATCTTTTAACATATCTTTCTTAAAAGATAAATTTTCCTTGCAGCCATTTCCATTTTACTGGATGTCTTCATAACGTTACAGGGTCGCTTTATGCTGGTGAACCAGCCACAACTGAAGGGCCCCTTCTGAAAGGAAAGCACCTCTAGGGTTAGAGGTCAAGGTGTTCCCCTTTCCTGCCCTGTGGGGTGCTCCACAGAGCTTGATCCCTCACACATGGACTGGCTATGGTTCTCTGCCTGGGGAAAAGGATAGGCATCCTTGGTGGCAGGGTGGTCAGGCAGAAGCTGTCCTGGAGAAGGGACCTCTTTGCATGGAGAAAAGCTGTTAAGGAAGCACAAAGTCTGGATTCCCAAGCCAGCTCTACCCTTGACTCATGGTGTCTTTAGTTAAGTCACCTGACCTCAGATCATCAAGTTTGCCCCTCTATCCACTTAAACTGAACTTTGTGGATGAACATTCCTGAAATAAGTTATTAGTGGGGTGAACCAATGATTTTTCCTACTTTTTAGTTACTTTCCTTTCATAAAGACCATTGAGGTGTTGGCTGGTCCTGATTCTTTTGTAAACTGACTCCACCAGGGAGCTTCCTGAGTTCTTTAAGCCTGTGTCATGTAGGATTTGCATGCTAAATCTCACTATGGTTTAAAAATTCCAATTTAAGGAGTTCATGGCCTGAGTGCAGAGGTCAAAATGATTTGAGGCAAGTTCTTTTTGCAGTAATGAGATAATTTTATGTTTCTGAAGGGATAGATGGGATTCTTAGGGCAGAAACTCTGTTGTACCTATTTCACAAGCCAGTTCAATTCAGAATAATGACTATCATTTCTGTGTTACTGGGTATTTTCATGTTAAGGAGGATGCCATGGTTACTTTCTTCCTAATCCCTATCACTTGACCTATTTCCATCTTGGGTACCTCTGTGAAAACCTAATACATATAGAAAGGGCATACCTTAGTCTGGGTACTTCCTAGAAATCTACCTGAAATAGAACCTGTTAGTTCTATTTCAGGAGGATATACCCTATATATCCTCAGTTTGTCTTTTCACTCTTTCTAGACCTTTGCCCCACTAGTTTATGAGGATTAAATGAGATTATGAAGTTTCCAGAACAATGCATAACTCTCACTGTGTCTGTAGTCATTTCTGTTTTGTGTCACTTCCTTCTAGCATGGGCCTCCTACATGACCAACTCCCCTACTCTCATTGTTATGATTGGCTTGCCAGCCCGGGGTAAAACCTACGTGTCCAAGAAACTAACACGCTACCTCAATTGGATTGGGGTACCCACTAAAGGTAGGTGCAGATCATTCTGTGAGATGAGACTCATTAGTTTCTGGGTCCCATGTGTCTCTGGGAAATTGATCCTCTCTGGTGTCAAGGTTAATAGAATACTTCTGGCAGGAATAGTGGTTGCTTCCTTATTTATTGGATGACCCTATATTTGTCTTTTCCTGGCCTGGGCAGACTGGTCTCATTTTGAGGAAATGCTTTTGATAGGTATATTAAGAATGACTGAGAACAGAGCTTTGCATTTTCAAAACCCTTGTACATGCATCCTGTTATCTACACCTAGTAGCACCCTTATGGAATTAAATTTCAGGCCACCTAAGACTTCCAGGCCTTGAGAGTCAGGACTTGAATCTAACTTTTTTAACTTTTAACCTGGCCTTATTCCCAACATGCTGTGGTGCTTATTTACATTAAGAGGTCCCCTCTGAGGGGCCCATCATGTTATTGTGCTGCTGAAGGATTTGGGTATCTTCTTCAGTGTTCAATCTTGGGGTATATCGGCGAGAAGCTGTCAAGTCCTATAAGTCCTATGACTTCTTTCGACATGACAACGAGGAGGCCATGAAGATTCGCAGGTGAGTCTTTTTTAAGGCCTGATTCCAGGTCACCTTTTTCTAGACCATCATGAGACTGGATGTGATAATGTTTTGTTTTTTTCTCAGTAAAGAGCTCATAGGGGTTTTAAGTAGAAGTTATCTGATGAACCAATCACATTGAGCTTGGATGGGTAGAAACACAGGGCTCAGGGAGTTGCTTGTTTGTTTCTAGGGTAAGCCTAAAGAGGGATATGATATATGCATTGGGCTAGGGATAGAGGTGTAGAACCATGTAAAAACCTCAGTGGGAAAGCTGAAAGACCTAGTTAGGGAAATTAAGTAGGAAGGATGTGACTCCTACGGCCTTCCAACTCTTTGTCTCTGGCTGTGTTTGAGCTTAGTTCTTACTGCTGCTGTGCTTTATTCTCATGATAGACAGTGTGCTCTGGTAGCGTTGGAAGACGTTAAGGCATATCTCACAGAGGAGAGTGGGCAGATTGCGGTAAGCCTTATCTGCTTTCTCCCCTTTTCAGTCTCTACCCTGTGCTACTTGGGTTACCTTGGTGTGGGGTTCCATTTCTCTGTCCTCATTCATTTACCCTGTGTGCTTTCGGCTTAGGTGTTTGATGCTACCAATACCACACGGGAGAGGAGGGACATGATTTTGGACTTTGCCACACAGAATTCCTTCAAGGTAGGCTCTACCTCTATATTGGAGGAAGAGTGAGGGGAGGTAGGAAGTTAGGATGAGATCTGAATGTATTTGGCTTGAGTGAGGACAGGATTGGATATCTGATTCTCTTCTCTTGGGGCATACCCTCAATCCTTGAGTGTTTTCTTTCAGATCCTTTCTCAGACCTTTAGCCTGTATGTTTGAGGCCCCGGGCATGTGGTAAGAGATACTTTTTAAATGAGAAAGCCTTGAAGGCCACAATCACGAACAAAATCCTGGGTGACGTGGTGGCTGGGTGGGGTGGGCGAGTGTGTGCTCTTAGTTGGCTACCTGACATTTATGACTCATTTATCATGCCTTCTCTCCATGGCCAGGTGTTCTTTGTGGAATCTGTCTGTGATGATCCAGACGTCATTGCTGCCAATATCCTGGTGAGTAGCACTCTGCCGTATCACTTCTCTGTTCCCTTTGGTGCTGTGTGTGTAAGTTCTGGAGAATGAGAGACAAGTAGCTATGTTTAACATCACAGGCAGAGCTGTGCTATCCGCCAGAGTACCATTTGGTACTTCTAAACTCTTCCCTTGGAACAAAAAATGGGCTTGAGGAATAAAATAACTAGCTGCTGAATCAAGACTAAGATATAGGCTATGAAATCCTGGCCTTGTCTCTATGCTAAAACCTGCACATTAGACCATGTGAAGTTCTTCTTTATCTGCCCACTTACAGTAAGGGCATCTGCTTAGCTGTTACTCAGTATTCTGGTCCGCATTCTGTACATTGAACTCCTCATTCCCTATGGGTTGCAGCATCATGCAATCCCCGTTCGATGGGTTGCGGATCCCATCTGCGTGTGGTTTCAGGGAGATGCTCTTAGCCGTGTAGGAACTGGGGTTATCTGAGGAAGTTTCACCCAGTTTCAACTCAGACACTGGGCTACATTTCCTATTCTGAGTGAGGAGGGAAAATCTGGCCCATTCTTTTTTCCCCCAGAAAGTACAGACAAAGATTCGGGCACAGGAGCAGTGTCAGCTGTATGACTGCCTCTGTCCGTTAGCCAAGGGCAGGCACATGACTCTCCAGTTGTCTTTCCCTTCTGGGTTGCCAAGGTCACAGGAAAGGGGAGGGATGCTCATTGAATGGGCAATGCTAGTGCTCTACAAAAGACTTTTAGGGAACTCTTTGTCAGTATTTGGTACTATCTGTGTGGGACTGGTAAGAGAAGACCTCTGACCTCTTACTATACCTCTGGCTGTAGGAGGTAAAGGTCTCGAGCCCTGACTATCCTGAAAGGAACCGGGAGAATGTGATGGAGGACTTCTTGAAAAGAATCGAGTGCTACAAAGTCACCTACCGACCCCTTGACCCCGACAATTATGACAAGTAAGGTTTCAGGCTGCAGTTGGAAGGGGCAGAGGCAGGAGTCCCTGGGACAAGAGCCTTTCTCCTCTGTTGCCAATGTCCTCTGGTAATCTAGATCTGCAGTATGTATTATTCCAAGGGAACAAGGTATGGGTCTGTGCATTGCATCTTACACTTCAGCATAGAAATGCTTTCATCATCAATTTTCCTCTTCATTCTCTAGAACAAAAGTGTTCTACCTCAAGCATTATTGGCATTTGGAACTAGGTAATTCTGTACTGTAGGGCTGTCCTGTGCAATGTAGGATATTTAGTGATATCTCTGGTGTCTGCATACTAGATGCCAGTAATACCTACAGGTTGTGAGGACATTACCAAATAACCTGCCCCCCAAGGTGGGAAGACCGAATCAATGCCAGGTAAGAATGTTTGCTCCAGATCAGTAGTTCTGAACAGGGTACCCTAGGATGCCCTTAGAGATGTCATCAGTTTTGGGTGAATTTTTAAAGTTTTGTGTGTGTGTATGTATATGTATAATGTGCATGTTAATATATATGCTATATATAGCTATATGCTATGTCACATAGCACATTATATATAAATACTAAGTACTTACATATAATGCTAAGTATATAATACTACTTATATGCATTATACATATATAAAATACTAAGTATATATAATACATATATATATGAAATGCAGAACCCTCAAGAACCTGCCCAACAAGGAAATTCTGATTGTTGCTGTCATTACTTTGGATTTTTTTTTTTTTTTTTTTTTTTTTTT